GCACTATTCACAACTGCAAACATATGGAATCAATCTAACTGACTATCAAAGCATGATTGGATAAAGAAAATGTGGTATATAAACACAATAGAATACTATTCAGCCATAAAAAAGAATAAATAATGTATTTTGCAGCAACATGGATAGTTATCATCAGTGAAACAACCTAGAAACAGAAAGACAAATACTTCATGTCCTCACTTATAACTGGGAGTGAAATAATGTGTAAACATGAACACAGAGTGTTGAATGATAAACAACAGAGACTCACCGAGTTGCCGGGAGTGCAGAGAAAGCATGGATGATGAGAAATTACTTAAAGGGTGCAATGTCATTATTCCAGTGGTGGATGCACTAAAAGCCCTGAGTGCACCACTATGCAACAATCTATCTGTGTAACACAGTTATGCTTGTACCTCATAAATTTATACAAATTTTTAAAAATTAAAAAATGCAACATATGATCTAAGATTGGATCCAGGATTGGAAATTTGGAAATTTAACATTAATGGTGATTGGTGAATTGTGAATAGCCTTTACATTAGGTATCAATATTTAAATGGTGATTTCCTGACACTGATCATTGTACCACTCTTATGAAATATGTTAGCATTTAACATGGGAACTCTTTGTACATTTACATATTTTATAGATCTGAAAATATTTCAAAAAGTAAAAGATAAATTTTTTAAACACTTACCAATGACATTTATCCAAGGTAAAATCCACACCCTGAAAAACAAAGCCAAACACCTTTCCAGGAATATAAAAAACATGTTTCATGGTGGTGAAAGCCCCTATAAAATGTGTTTTATTCAAAAAATAAGAATCATAGTTGTACAAATGAACATACAAACTAACCACATTTGTAATAAGCACTCTATGTATGGAGTAGTGTGGGGAAGAAAAGAGTCATGTTGAATTTTGAACTACTCATTTCTTTTGGCTATTGATAATGAAAGGGTGGCAACTTTCACAGAAATCCCAGGCCACGAGAATACATCCTGCAAAACACATCTTCCAATCACTCATGGAAATCTGATGATAGCTCAATGTGAAAAGCCTCTCCTCAGCCAAAATAGTAAAAATACAGATCATCACAGAAACTATACAATTATCTAAAATAAAACGAAAATCAGAGCGCTGCAATATACTAAATGTCCTCTAACAACTTCTCAACAGAAAAATATGTTGCCAAGAATTAGGGGGGAATTCAGTTAATTCAGAATTTAAAAGCTGTGTAAAGAATCTGTTACAGATGATCCCCAACTGGAAATAGTTCACCTTACAATGTTTCACCTTTACAATGGTATAAAATCAATACACACTTAGTAAAAACCATACTTTGAATTTTCAATTTTGATCATTTCCCAGGCTAACGATATCCATGTTAGTGTTCCGAACATCTCTAAGGCTGGGTAGGCTAAGCTACGGTGTTTGGTAGGAAGGTTAGGTGTACTACACGCATCGTTGACTTATGATATTGGTTACAATGAGTTTCTTAGGACACAGCCCCATCATAAGTCAAGGAGCATCTATACACCATCAATAAGAAAGAATCCACGTGAGGAATATAAGATGATGAGATAACAGAAGGGATCGAAAATACAGAAATAAACAATATATATTCATTCAGGCACCATAGGAAGTGTTTCCATATTTGGACTGATTTTCTGAAACAAAAAGGAATTGAATAAAATCATACTATCTTTGATCTCCTGCTAAGTATTTGTCATGACATCAGGTAAATTTTAAACATTTATGGACCACAGATTTACTCTTTGAAACAATGAATGCAAAATAGATCATATCTCTGAAACTACCCAGATTACTATAATCCCCCAAAATTTATAATGAGAGGTCTAGGTTTTATTTACCATTGCCTTGCATAAAGTTGTTCAAGTATTCATCAAAATCTTTTGGTTGCTTATGTCTGAATCTTCCTTTTAATAAATGATATATAGAGGTAACAACATCTTTTGGATTCCGTATAATATAAATGATCTAAAAGATACAAGAAGTTTATGAAAGTGCAGTATGAATATTTATCTCTGTCTGCTCTTCTGAGTGATCCACATTTCCTCATACCCCAAACCCAAACTGCTCATCTGTTCAAACACAGCTGGTATTATTCAACAGAAATATTCACTCTCAAACCACTACTCTATTAATACAGGCTGCCCTCCCTTCCCATTCTCCACTTAGATAAAGAATGCTAAATTGATCTTACCCTTGGCCAACTTTAATAATTAATCGGTAATAGCTGTCCTGTCCCACTACATTAAGAAAAATCTAGAACTGACCTCTGAGTTCACAGAGCGAAGCACTATGATCAGTTAATTATGACTGCCATGGATGTGGGGGCAAGGGACACTGGCGTATGTGCCATGGACTTGGATTACTTCCTTAGATGCACCATCTCATCAAAGGAGAGAACATTCCCCTGAGATCGCTTCAAAAGGACCCACATCCACGCACCTTGGCATTGGAGGTAAAGTAGGACTTGGGGAATAATTGTACGGGGAGATGTGACGTCATGAGGCGTGATCCATCCTGTTTCTTTATGTTTTCCTGAAAATGATTATCCTCTATCCATGGGGACCTGACATAATTTGGGACAGTTTGGACCAAGCTAGGGTCCCCATTGTAGTAGATCAGACTGAGAATCTCAATCATCCAGTGTGTTCCTAGTAGTAAAATAAAAGAGAGAATCATAATATTAATATGATGCATTAACATTATGAAGATGTTTCACACATTGAGTGCCCAGAGTTCTTCAATCACTTGTGGGCCCCTATAATCTTGACTATCAATTCTACAGTCTCTGTTCCCATTCCCTTGTCACTTTGTACCCTCTTCCCCAGGAGATATTCCCATGAAAATGATGCCTGAAAGCAGAATAATCACCAATTTATATCCCCAGGCCGGATGCCCACTGTGCTTCGGTTTTATGAGCCCACCTGACTCCTTAGCCTCTCAGAATGTTTTCACTGGGAGTCCCAAGAACATGATGTTGGCAATTTGATAGCCATCACATTGAATCTGTAGAGCGCTTTGGGCAGTATAGTCATTTTAATAATATTCTTCCAATCCATGACCATGGATGTCTGTCCATCTGTTCTTATCATCTACAATCTCTTTCCTCAGTATTTTTGTATTAATAGTTCATCTTGTAGAGATCCTTCACCAGCTTGGTAAAATATATTCCTATAGAGTTTTGTGTAGTCATTGTAACTGTGATTGCTTTCTTGATTTGGCTCTAGGCTCAACAACCGTCTCTCCCAATTTCACCATAAATAAACTTAAATTGTATGTAAAATCAGGTTTCTGGCTATGTACACACGGCTACAAGACAAATGCCTCGGGCCCCAATGTTAGCCAATTTGCCACACACAGGCCATTTCTTGTGAAATTCTGGATGAGACATGGCATGAGGAATTAGGAGATCAGCAAAGGGGGGCTGCTTTAATCAGGTTCCCTAAAAGCAGAGTGTGAGACAGGAAATCTCCTAGAAGTGGTTCATTGAGAGAATGCTCACGGCAGGAACCTATTAACATGGAGAGTGAAGAAATCAGGAAAGGGCATTGGAAGAAAGTCATCTCAGTCTGGTGCCCTGGGTCCTCTGGCGCATTCGTGGCACTACAGAGCTGCTCCAACTTGAGGGGAGAGGCCGGGTCTTCTGAATCAGTCCCCCTTCGACTGCAGACCAGCACCGAGGAGAGGCATCAGCCCCAGGCACCTCCCGAAGGCATTCCCACAGCCCGGGTCCATTCTCCACCCAATGGTGGAGTGAGGTCTTTTGGGTGGGGACCCTGGCCTTGGGGCCTGGGATCCTGGAGTGTGGCCTTTTGACTGAATCCAGATATTAGAGACCAAATCTTTTTCATAAAGAAAGGGGACTGTTGGGAAGGCATGACTGCATTTTCTTATGTGGCAAGAATGGTGCAGGGTGCCCACCACTCCTGCGTTAGTCTCTTTTAAACAATCAGATCTCACCAGAAATAAAAGAGCAAGAATACACTTGTTGCCCTGAGGATGGCATCAAGGCATTCACCAGGGATCTGCCCCCATGACCCAAACACTGCCCACCAGGCCCTACCTCCAACCTCTGGGATCAAATTTCAAAATGAGTCTTGGAGGGGACAGACATCCAAACCAACCATAGCATTCCACTCCTACCCCCCCCAATCTCATTTCCTTCTCATGAAATATACAATCACCCCTTCACCATAGTTCCCAGAAGTCCTAACTCCCTCCAGAAACCTCAAAAGTTCAAATTCCAAAGTCTCATCTGAGACTCAAGGCAAGCTCCTGACAGATGTGAGCCTGTAAAATCAAAAACAGATTACATACTTCGAACACACACACACACACACACACACAGACACACACAGACACACACACAGACACACAAAGGCATGCACACACAGGCACACACCCTTCACAGACACACACATTCTTCTTACCTGATCTAGGGAAACTCACTAGGATGACATCATCGTCTTTCACCAGAAATTCATCTCGGGCAAAGCACACATTCTCTAGAGGTGTAAGATGTGAATCCATCCATATCCCCTCAAACAGGAATTTACTGGTCATCTTGAAACAGTTTTGCAGTGAACCATCCAGGGCTGACAGATCCATGTTCTGATACTGGACGCAACAGCCCCTTAAATCAGGCAGAGAAAAAAGCCAAACTCCCTCACTAATGTAGTTACTAATGCAGAACAAACCACAGTTCTCTGAAGGTCTAGGACAGCAGGTCTTACTCAATAGTTGGGATTAAAGAGAGAGTACTTTGACAGAGAGTTAAAATTTGGACTTATTAGGTAAGTGAAACATCTAAAGATCAGAAAATTGAACACCACAGTTTTTCACTGTCACATTGGAACTACCCAATCAGCACTCATGCTCACAGATGGAAGTAAAACACAAAAGAAATCATGCAGGTGGGAGGGAGAATGAGATGGGTAAAATCACACCTGATGGGTACAATGTCCACTATCTGGGTGATGGGCATGCTTATAACTTTAACTCAAGCAGTACAAAAGCAGTCCATGTAACCAGAACATGGGTACCCCCATGATATTCTGAAATTAAAAAGAAAACTTGGAATTAGACCTGAATAACCCTTGAAAAATCGGGAGAATGTGACATCCAGACTAGTAAGCAGGAGGGTAGAGAATGAGACCAAAGACAGGAAATAGCAGCTTGTGGAAAGAAGTCACTGAGTGTTTTTCATTGAAAGAAAATGAGTGTTCACAGGCAAAGGGCTCCCTAGGGTCCTTCTTCAGGCCAGTGGCTCTGGCAGAGCCTCACTGACTTACTGACTCTCAGGCTTCAGCATCCTTACAGTCTTGCTTTAGCAAATCCCCCATGGGAGGACACTCTGGTACAATAGGAGGAGAGTCACTTTGAAGTGGCTAATGCTTGTCTCACCTAAAAGGTGTCCTGGGACTTCTGGCTTCTCTCTGGGAATGTACAGAACCAGAACGAGCTTTGCTGGTATGTTTACAAGAAGGGCAGTTTGTATTAGTCTTTGAGTTAATCCTTGGGTGCAAAGTATAATACAGCATCTTACTAAGATAAGTACTTTTATAACTATAATAAGTGAAGTTAATATAGAGGTTATAAGTCCTTTTTATTTTCCAAACCATCTTTTCATCCCATCTCCCATGGGATCCTCTGCACCAGAATTTTCAGCTCATTTGTTGGCAAGAGTGGTTAGTGCTTGGAGGGCTGCTGGGGTGGGGAGTATAACAGTCAACGGCCCCTTTTACTTTGCCTTAAGTGAGGTAGAATTTCAATCCTTTACCCATACCTGATCCCCTGGCAAGAAGGGGTGTTTGGGAGTGACAAGTTGATGGGGACTCTCTCTTGAAATTATTTATTTAAGGCATTAGATATCTTTCCTAGTCCCTCCATTACCGTATGAATTTCTAGTTCTCCCTGTTCTGTCAGTCGTCTGGGCAGGGACCTAAGCATGGGAGGAGGCCTAGCACACAGCCCTTCATAGGGCGAGTGTCCTGTTCTCTTAGTGGGGTGCACCTGATTCTAAACAGGATCATAGGGAGAGCTTGACCTAGGAAAGGTTTGCTTTTTGGCATAGATTTTGTAATCCTTCCTTTATGGTTCTGTTTATTTTCTCTACCTCTCCAAACTCTGGGGCCTGTAAGTGGCACGTAGCTTCCAAGAGGGCCCTAACCCCTTGCAGGGCATCCCAACTACGGCTGCTGTGATCCTGGCCCGTTGTCTGAGCCAGTCTGTAAGCGCAGTCCAGATGGAGGGGTTATTTTTCTTAATAGGACCTTCACTAGCTCTCGAGCCTCTCAGTCCTGCAAGGGAAACCTCACCCCACCCTGAGCAGGTGCACACCAGCACCAGCGAGTATCCATACCCGTTGCACTGAGACAGCTCAGAGAAGTCTTTCTGAAGGTCCTCGAAGGGCGCAGCGCCTACTGTCTGAATTCCGGGAGACACCACTGGGTTTTGTTTGGCGTCGTGTTGGCTGTGTGAACTAAAATAAAATTTTAAGGCTCAGCGACCCGCACCAGATGACTGAATGGACCCCCTCGTGGCCAAAGGAATACCCCAAAACTAAATTTTCTGTCAGGAGGAAGAAGGTCATACATACCTCATCATGGCCTCCCTCCCTTCTTGGAGACAGCCTTTGTAACCCGTTAACAGGCCTGAGACAAACCTGCAGGCCCTCCATTTACACAAAAATCTATGTTTGGTGGCTTTTCTCTGAGAACAGCTCCTTATGTTGAAACACTCCAGACCTTTAGACAAAGCTTCATGTCTTTAATCAATTAGAAGGCAAGGAATCTTTAAACCTACCTGTAACATGTAAGCTCCCCCACACCCTCACTTCGAGATGGCCCACCTTTTCCGGGAAAGCCAATGTATGCCTTCCACGTATTGACTGATGACTTTACCTGTAACCCCTATCTCTTTGAAATATATAAAACTAAACTGTAACCCAGCTACAGTGAGTCCACTTGCTCAAAGCTTTTTGAGAGTGGCTCCAGATCATGGTCTTTAAATTTGGATCAGAATAAACTTCTTTTAAAATATTTCAGAGTTGCAGACTTGTGGGGGGAGGGGCGAAAGGGCATTTATTGAAACCTTAAAATTTGTACCCCCATATATGCCAAAATAAAAAAAATAAATAAATTAAAAAATATTTCAGAGTTTGGATTTTTCTGTCCACAGCTGCAAATGGTTCAATGCAAGCTTGGGTTCTTAGCGAAAGCAGGGAGGTGTTGGATGTCAAAGTATCTTCCCAAAAGTTTTTGTGTAGTTTCTTGCCCAGGATGAGTGGCCTCATGGGCTGTTTTTACTATAGTAAAACATCCTGCTCACAAAGACCTAGTTCACGACCTCCAAGAGCTGAGTGGCCTTCATCCCAGCAAACCATTCAGGCTTCTGCAGCTTGGGGTGTGTGTCCCTCACACTGTGACTCACGAAAGCAGTGTGGATCACTCGCTGATTTCGGGGGCCTCAGGGTAAAAGGGAGTATCTGCTTGAGAGTCCCCACACGGTCTCTCATAGGAGGCTCCCGGACTCTCACATGGCCTCTGCAGTATCTCAGTGACCTTGGCTACACTTGGGGACCACTTTGTGGATGCCTCGTAAGAGGGCCTCCCTGGTTTGAAGTGAAAACCAGAACAAATGAATAAATGATGCTTACTTCAGAGCATATTTCACCACCTTGCTTATTGTACGCCTTCCCTGGCCTTACAGTTGAATTTCTACATTTCTCTGCATTACTTAGTGATCGATTTTTTCCTTTCTTCCTTGCATATTTACTCTCTTCCTTGCTCTGGACAGAATTATGAGGCACCTCTGACGTCCTGTTGT